CATTATGTAGGACACACACACACACACACACACACACACACACACACACACACACACACACACACACACACACACGCCAAGTTCATGTGGTGCTAGGATCAGTACACAGAACTAAATTAGACTGTAGATATGACATGTCGTTCTCTATTGATACTCTACAGATATATGTACATTACAACGGTTGATATGTATTCAATTACTGCTGCAATGCTCGATCACCAGCTGCTGTTGTAACACTTTCACATCCTAATTTAAGATCAATCAAGTACATCTATATCTGTACTAAGAAAGGACATCAAATATTATATAGAACATTACCAATCAGTCACTGGAATAAATATTTGAAAGTGGATTAAGTGACTGCTGTAAAAAAAACTGTTCAACATGAAAGCAACATTTTTAACTGCAGCAGGAACCATTGCGTTAAACAAATTAGGGGTAAACGTTGAGGGTTAGTTTAAAGAGGGACTATCATGCTTATTTTCAGGTTCATACTTGTATTTTGTGCCTCTGCTGTGACATGTGTGCTTTAATGTTCAAGAAGTGCTACCTGATCTAAATGTGTTTCTTGCACGTTCAAGGTTCCTCTTTTGAGGATTACGATTATGACTCTTTGGCCATGTTTTAATCATAGTTTGTTCCCCTATTTTACTTCCTGTTAAATCAACATTTATAACTTACAAGGAACAAACTATTTGCTTGAACTTTTGTTGACCCCCGCACCCACTATATTCATATTTTTGGTTTTGTACGCATTCTTGATCTGTTTCGAGAGGCATCATTGAATCAACAAATTCAAATGGATTCAAGTTCACCCACTAACCACAAAGTCAGCAAAGGAGAAAAGTGAACCAATTTAGAAGCACTCCTTTAATTCTCAGCTGATGAGCTCAGAGACAATTGATTTTGTTTGCTCAACTAAAAGAGGAATAACCAAAAGAAGTGTGATTGTGTTGAGATGATGACTATCCTGGCCCAAAGTTACAGGGGGGCTGCCAAATCCTAGCAGCCTTAAAACACCAGCTCTGCCAGATTTAAAAGCCCCCCTGCAATTTGATCCACCATGAATCCAGAGTAAATGCTTTGGTTGTGAGAACTAGAAGGGGAGTAGCTAACACCAGTGGGATTTTGGTGAGATTATGATCTAAACCCACCAGACTCAGGAACAGTTTCATCCCACAGGCCATAAGACTATTAAACACCTGAACTATTTAAAGATCATCCATAACATTCATCTGTTTGCATCGGGCAAATTATTTATCTATCATATTCCATTTACTTGTATTTAAACTCTTCTTGCACTATATCTATTTTATTTGTATTTACTTGCACATCTCAAATCATCCTCTTGCACTATTTTATTTGTTCTATATATATTCATGTTGCACTGTTGGAGGAACCTGTGACTCAAGTGTTTCATTGCCATTTCTACACTGTAGCTACTGTGCACATGATAATAACAGCCTTGAATCTTGAATCCTCCTAGCCAAAGTTACAGAGGGGGCCAAATCCAGCCGCCGTAACACCTGCTCTGCCAGATTTAGAAAGGCCCCTTTAATGAGGGAAGTTAAAACCATGTTGAGCAGAGAGTCTCAACAAGTTCCCGCCTTCATGGGGAACAAAAGCTTGAGCATTATCACTAGCTGACAGCCAACTTCACACAACAAACACACGCAGAGCAGCATTTTCAGAACTGTGCCACACATTCAAGGAATTTAAAATAACTCATCACAAGAAGTGTTACATGTAGCAACTGAATATAAAATGAAACATAATTAAACTGTGTGAGGACTGTTTGGCTCCATTGCATCTCCACAACAATGTCATGTTTGTGTGTTTTGGGCCATCAGACGTACACAAGGCGAAAGCTGGAATTAAGCAAAATCTGCTTTTTGGCTGCTACTACCAAACAAAAAGATCAGACAATTTGATCCACAATAATCAGGAAGTCTGGATACGTCTTAAAACAGCCAGCAATGATGCAAAGCCTCTGATATTGATTAAAAACATAACTCAAGCTTATTTAGGACTTACTTTGTCCAGAGTAAAATAATGTTTCATTAGCACACTCTCTAGACTTCAAATACCTTCACTTCACCACAAGAGGGCGCTTTTAAAACTTGTGGCTACTTCACGTGGGGCAGAGAGAAATTAACCAAAGGTCGGATATAATGCAGCCTCGTGATTACTGATAACAAATGACAGATTGAAAGAGAAACGACTTCCCATTCAAAACAATGGTATTGCTTTGTATTCCTGGTAAAAGTGCTGAGTGCGGGGAGTCATGTCCACTTCTACTTCTTGGGTGAGTTATTTTAAATAATAAATATGCAGATGTGTACACGTTGGATAAAATGGGATGTGCGGTTACCACCATAGGTTACCACCCTTGACTATCAGAGTCTAATCGGATGCGTGTTTACGGCACATACTGTATCATGCCAGTGCTCAGTGAGTTGTGTCATTCAGTGTTTGTGGTGGCCAACCATCACACCATGTTCCTCAAATTAGACTTTTGTCTGTGTTTGCCTCGAGCTGTCATCCTTTTCTGAGACTTGTCTGGCGTTTCCACAAGTCATATGTTTACAGTGTTTTCGACTAAAGCACCAGCAATCGGACATCGAAGGATTTACCTCTGTAGCTGTGAGTTTCCTTAATATTTACTTAAGCTTCTTTTTTTTAAATTAGTTGTTAATTGTTGCAAAGAAAAAACTATTACATGCCAGTTTAATTTAGCGTTCTTCAGTTTGAACTGAGTAGCTCAGTATTATCCTAATTTGCTGCTACATTGACTCATATTTGCATTCTTATGTTGTATTGTAATGTGTTTCTATTATTTTGTCCACCCTTTGTAGTTATGAAAAATGAAAACTTGCAGCAAGTCCCCTGCAATGCTCCTGATTTACATCATCTTACTCCCAGGTAAGACAACATGTTTTGACATTTTTAAAACATATATAGCCTAATACTGAGAGGATTATATTTATTGTAAATCAATTGAAAAGTTTGTTTTAGAGAATCATTTCTTAAACTTCCTCTTCCAAACAGAATTTGCCTAGTTTTACAATCATATACAGCTTCTCTAAAATAGTCAGTGGTGCGAACAGATGCTTTTGTAAAGTGGTGTTGAATCTGTGTCTGAAAAAAGGGTGGCTTGAGTAATTATGAAAAAAACCGTTACAGTGTTGATAGAGATAACCAGACAGCACACTCTTGCCAGCGTATCATGTTCTGTTTTAGCAGCACAATACTTCTGTCCTAAAATAAAACGTAAATACAGTACTTTTACTTATTTACTTTCTTCCACTGAACATCTTCGTAGTCTTCTAGAGACTCTGTTGAGAACATGTGTGAACACAAGGGAGCAATTTTAATTAAAGAGGACATACTGTAGTATGCACATTTTCAGGTTCATATTTGTATTTTGTGCTCAAAAAGCTCTTTATTTGTCTCATACTGCCTGTGCTGCAGCACCTCTTTTCACCCTCTGTCTGAAACCAGAGCCCAGTCTGCTCTGATTGGTTAGCTGGTCGACTCTGTTGTGATTGATCAACTTCTTATAGATTTCCCGCCCCTTAGCCTATAACGTACAATGTGTTGAAGCGCTAGCCAATAGAAGCACAAGTGTTTATATTGGCTAAACAAAACACACTTGTGCCACATGCAAAACGTTAGAGTGATGTCTCTATAACGAAGTTAAATCGAGACGTTTAAGGCATGAATTCACGAGTGAAGCCATTTACATGCTCAAAAAACCTATAACACACTACAGGAAAGATAAAAACCCAAAAGGCCTCTTAAAACATAATTTTAGGAAGTTGGGTTTTGAAATGAACAAAACCATGTTGACAAAAGGACTCCATGTGTGTTTAAAATAAGGTTAAATAACAAATCATNGATGTGTGTTTAAAATAAGGCTACATTACAAATAATCTTGTTTTTTGTTTGATAAAAGAATAATCAACGGCCATCTTTTCACATTACTTTTTTTTGCAGTTGTTGAACTCAAAGTGCAGCCTGAAGTGACGGGATACCTCGGAGAGGAGGTCACCCTGCGATGCCAATTCATCCCGGGACCAGAAGACCAAATCTCTCAGTTTCAGTGGGAGCTGAAGGCACCAGAAGGAGATAAAATCCTCATCATTGTTTCTAATGCTATCTCAGGAGTTAATACACCAGAAACTTTTCTGAAGGGGAGAGTGAAGATTGCAGATCAATCTTTGATAATTGAAGATGTTGAAATGAGAGATGCAGGGTCGTACACCTGCAGCGTTACAACTTATCCCAGCGGTGCCTTTGAAGAAACCACCAAACTTGTTGTTAAAGGTGAGTAAGAAAAGCATTCTTGATGAAAAATCTTATTTCTGATACAATTTCTTGTTTCCAGTTTAATATAAATGTGTTTAACCCCACTGCTAGGACTCTGCGATATGGAGTACTTTATATCAAATATAATATAAACATTGGTTATGTAAATGTAATGAATTAGTGAAAATTGCATCACCTACCGTACTTTAAAACCAGGAAAGGACAACAGTTATGCAACATTACGATATATCCCTTCACATATTATAATATTGGTATCTTTTTCCCCAACCCTTTTTCCTTGAGTAAATACTTAAAATGTGATCAGTTGCCTTGTTGTCCATCAACTATTTAAAATGTAAACCATAATGATACATTAATTGGGATTATATGAACAGTGACGGTTAATCAAAGGCATGTTTCTTCTCTCAGAACAGAAGCCACTGTCTGCAGGGACGGTGTCTGCTATAGTGATCGCCGTCATGCTGCTGTTAGGCATCGTGGCTGCCATTATCTACCTCTTCATCAGAAAGTGAGTATTAACCCATAACCAAGACTCTTCTGTTCCAAATGGATCTGAATGTATCATCAATGAATACTCTTTGTTCAATGGCTGACATGCATTGATCAAAACTCTTTCACTCACTGAAAATGCCTTCAATGTTTCCATGAAGACCTTTGTCATTCATACTCCTCCATCTGCAAAACACTTTACATACATGTATGTAGCACATTTTCAAAAACTCTGCAAACTACACTAAAAATTGTTATACATTTCAGCAGCAACTACATTAAGATATATGGATATTCTAGCATACAATGAAAATACAAGCACAGTTTTTAATGAGATTTATTTCCAGTGTTACAATCAAACAAGCTCCTTTTGAAACATGTTTGAATAGTTTTGTGTTTTTTTTGTAGTTTTGAAGGTAAAAACAAAAATCACTATTTGGCCAAAGTGCATGCTGGTAATACATACTGTTTGAAGAGCTTTAAAAAGAGAGTTTTTTGGCAATCAAAAAAACAGTGATGCATACTTTTAACACTTATCAACATTTAGTCCAGCACATTACAGTAATACTGAAGCAGAAAGGTATATGTTACAGTATTACTGTAATGTGCTGGACTAAAGAGGAAGTCTTTTAATTCTATATACTGTACACATGCAAAGTAGACTGGCAGTTGGTAAATTAGAGGGGGAAAACCCAACACGTTGCATAAGTATGCATCACTTAGCATCATGTACTTATTTTCAGTTGAATTTCAGGGTTGTTTAGGTTTCGGTGATTTTCAATATTGTTCCATAAATGTAACTTGTCGTCCTCAAGTCTTTTTTTTTTATACGAATTTGTACAGAATTAAGCTTACATATTGGAAAACATTAAAAATGTGCTATTTGTCAGTTTGTTGTTGCTTTATTTAATTTTGAGGAATAAGAAAGAAAAGTCCCTTCTGATGCAGAAAACTAACCGCAGACATTTTTATTCCTTTAAATCAGAAGTGATCCGAAGGTCAGACACTGTGTCTACATTGGTGAGAATGAAAGCCCATTTCACCACGCTTTGATTTATTTAAATTTGTTTCAGTTCCCTCGACTAACCCGTCTCTGTCTTTGCAGATACAGACGGTCCGGTGATGGATGTTTCGCGGCAATCTGTTCTCAAAAGAGACGAGGTGAGCTAGTGTCTAAATTTAGGTTGAATAAGTTCCACTCAGATTACATTAAACAAAGCAACCAAAACAACCAAGTCACTCTCTCTTTCACTACCTCTTAGGATGTGGTGTACTCTGACGTCAGGCTGAAAACATCCAGAGATGCTCCGCCCGACGAGAAACACACGGTGGGCGACGTCACGTACGCCGTAGTTGTGCGCCATCAGCTCCAATGAACACGAGATGGATGTCTTTCTTTTACTTGCAATAATCTGAAAGCTTCTGGATACGAGTTGTATTTATATATTTATATCAGCTTCTAAAGTAAAACCTGCTCCATGGCTTCAAATCATCCTCTCACTTTCCACTTTAGCCTCAAAGCAGGCGATTTAGTTTAAAGGAAATGTAGTACGTTTTTCTCTGATAGGAACCTTTTTTATATGTGGAGGTATTAAGTGAAGAAAAGATCAGTATTTTAAAGTAGCCGGGGTTGTATCATTTACCCGACACTAGCGAAACATTACCATCTTTTGTAGTTCACATAGCTTTTAAAGTAGAATAAATAAACTCTGTTACAAGCTACACATCATATGAAGAAAGACAAATATCCTTCACAGAAGTGCCTTGTTACCACATTTCCATCAAAATCTGACATTTTCCTTCAGTTACGTCTGTCTTGGCCCTGTACCAGAGTTAACCGTGCTCTTAAAGAGGCCCTATGCTTTTTGGGGTTTCCCCTGTCCTGTAGCGTGTTATAAAGTGTGCATGTGAATGGTCTGCAGAGCCTAAAATCCCTTTCTCTCCAACACACTGCCTGAAACTTTCTCCATTGGACTCCTTTGTTTACTTCAGTGACATCACCATGTAACAGTTGCATACCGATTAGCTTACGCACCAGCACATTGTACGTGATAAACTAAGGGGCGGGACAATATCTAAGCAGTTGACCAAACACAACAGAGCCGGCCAGCTGACCAATCAGAGCAGACTGGGCTCTGGTTTCAGACAGAGGGTGAAACGAGGTGCTGTAGCACAGGCAGTATGAGAAAAATAAAGAGCTTTTTGAACTTTAAAGCATGGAGACATGTCACAGTAGACGCACAAAATACAAATATGAAACCTCTAAATTAGCATAATAGGCCCCTTTAATGTGTATGTGTTTAATAGAAGCAAAACGTTGGATTCATTCCCTCTTGCAAATCAAGTGTTGCTCAAAAATAATTATTATTTTGAAAATTAAACTGTACTAATATTATTTTGCCGACATGTTTCCTGCCATTTGGTTTCAAAATATATATAACAGGTAGGAATGGTAGAAACCAGCACGCCTCCAACGTGTCAGCGAGGTAAATAACATTTTACTTTGCCGTGCTGCACAGTAGAGAAACACTCAGCAGTCACGGTAGATTTCATTACACAAAGTTCCTATTCCACTTTTTGGTGACCATCAAAGACGGAAGACAAAAACAGGAAGAAAAAAAGTAAAAAATTACACAATAAAAAAAAGGAGAACCAACACAGACACGCTGGTGCGTCTGGTGGTTGCTTGTTTCTGCAGAATAATTTACTTTTTAAATGGCATTTCTTTGTGATTCACCTTAATTGACTTCAGAATCGGAGAGGAAGGCTGCATTCTGTGTGGTTTTAACTTTTTCTTATTGCTGCCCATTTTACAAACCAAGAATATAATGTAAAGAACATTTGCTTGACATATTCAAATTGCACAGATACTGATAACACTTGTTTTACTAACCCTACCCAGTATTCTGTCTGCTTTGATTTTGAATGTGAGGATGCCGTTCACAGATTTTGCAGACTTTGCAGGCGTTTTGTAAGAAGGTGACAAAACTATGGTTTGAAAAGTTTCTGTACTGATGCACACCATCACTGAGCATCTCCAACCGTCACTATCTGAACCTGCCGAGTGTTCAGCTGCACTTCCTGACTCAGTTTGTGGGTGTGAGACTGCTCGTCTGACAAAACATGTGAAAACAGAACTAGTTGTTTTAAGTGTGTGAGAAAAAAGGGCTTGTTTAACGGTTAATGTTCAGTGTTGTTCCATTTAGTTTATATTGAAAGGGATTGCATTGTAACCTTAAGAACAGTCAGTGTTATGCATTGCCTTTTGCAGGTAACAATGTAGAGGAACAGGGCAACAGTTCTGTGAATTGTTTTTACCGTTTAATAAACCTGTAAATGTTCAGACTTCATAAAAGGAAGTGGTTTTTCTCTTTTTTTTTGTGATGTACAAAATTCTGTCATGGCAGGAAACAGATAAGAGATAGGGAGTGTGTTATAAAAGTATTTCCACAGCAGTCATCATATTTCTTAAGAGAAAAACTCACGCAGCCACGTCGCAAAGTCCAATAATTGACAATGTGGAAGGAATAACGTGCAGTTTGATGGTTTCTTGCTTTAAAAAAAAGGTATTTTATCCAAATGCTTGAAACACTTTGTGCCATTTGTCGTTTTGAGATGTTGCATTCCTCTGTGTCTCTTTGGGGTCAATCGTCTAATTCTGTCTTTCTGTGGTTGTCTTAATGGTTGCGTCACTTCCCTCTTTTTTGTCATATTCTCATCTCACTTTTGACTGGTCTGCACTTGTTGTTGATGAAACTGATCTGCTCGACTGTCTCTCAAATTGTAATGATTGTATGTATTACTTGAATTTTACTTAACAGACTGTACGTGGTTTGTCTTGTTTGTCATGTTTTGCTTTTGTCCTTTTGTTTTATGTATGTCTGTAAGTTGTTGCTATTGTTGGGACCCCCTTGGAAACGAGATAGTGCATCTCAAGGGGTTTATCCCAATAAATAAAATGTCTATATATAGAGACGGCAATAAATGTTTTATGTTGTCATTTTGAAGTGCCTGTGTGTGTTTGGGGCTTCATGATAAGGACTTGACATTCTGTATGTAAATGTTGTGATTGTTGAGAAAAGAAACTGATTTAGAGAGTCTTAATGTGAGACTTTAGGCCATGATGTGTGTGTGTGTGTGTGTGTGTGTGTGTGTGTGTGTGTGTGTGTGTGTGTGTGTGTGTGTGTGTGTGTGTGTGTGTGTGTGTGTGTGTGTGTGTGTGTGTGTGTGTGTGTGTGTGTGTGTGTGTGTGTGTGTGTGTCTGTGCATTACTATACNCGACACAGAGGTCCACAGTGACAGCCGGCACCGCCCTTCATTATTATTATTATGTTGTTCAAACGGCATCATGTTGAGCTGACAGGCGACACAGAGGTCCACAGTGTACCCCCCCGTTGACAGTTCACGAGCGCGTCCATATGTCTCCGTCCACCCCGCCCCGTCCACCCAGTAAAAAAAATCCCCACTACACCACTGATTAGAACTGGTTTATAAATGGTTCTTAAAGATTAATAAAGTGTTTACAACCTTTAAGTGAAGTGCACGCTTTACACTCACTCTTTGCCAAATGTTAGATTCCTCGGACCAAAACATTTGAAAACATTTGACAAACCTGATAAAAAGCAACATGTCTTTCCAAAACTGTGTCCTCGTTTGTTCTGGTAAGAGATGGTGATGTTGTTAAATGCTGTGAGCATAGCAAACACAATACCATTCACCTACATTGGTTTCTTTGTCATTTCGGTACACAGACCCTTTAACGAAAAGCAGACCGACATGTTGTGTTAAATAATCACACGAGATCTTGTTGCTCAATTGCATCTTTTATTCTTTCAGTCTCTCTCGACACGTTACATACTGTAGCTCTGCAGTGAAGCCTTTTAGCCTAAATTACTGTCTGGATGTTTAAAGCTGCTTCGTCACACATCTGGAGCACCTCATCAATACTCAGAGTTATCATCTAATTGCTGTTTGACACAAATTCAATCCAAATGCTTCTTTAAATATGTGAAAGAAATGACAGTGACAACTAAAAAGACCAATCAGGTGCTTTTAGTTTTCGTTTGATTTAGATAATGTTGAGTTTTCTTTCCAGGTGTGTGACTGTGGACATTCTTCATTTGCAGTCTTTGAACAGAAGTCTATATTCAAAGCTATATTTCCATTACACATTATAATAATATCAAAGCCATCGTACAGTTCATTTCGCTTAAGCATTTGCATTTCAGTAATTCTGTAATTTTTGTTTAGTTTTTTATAACTTGAGTTATTTTTAAATTGACTTTATTCGGCAAACACATACACTCATAAGGAAAAAGATCCAATAGGAAACAAAGAACTCCATTGTCTTTTAATTTGAAATATTTACAATTTTGTAGGTGATTTTTGTCAAAAAGAGAGCTCAGTCTCAAACAGAGACGACATCAAATTGGACTTGTTACGTTTCCTTCTTCTTCTTCATGTTGTACATTTGCCCCAGTGAAAGTCTTTTTAAAAACACTCACTGTACATAACACCCGAAAACATACACACTGGCACATGCATACATAGAGACTCACTCAGTGCGTTAAACTATACAAAGGGAAATGGTGTTTTCCGTCTCACTCAGATTGACTCTGACATCCTCCTTCTGCATTCAAACAGTAGTGGAAACACTGCGATTAGCATTCAACTAATCCAACAGCCACACATGCAGTTTATATACGATTAAAATCTGCCGTCATACGGTTTCTATGGAAGCCCTGAAAGACAAACGAGAAAACATACATATCGTGGTAATTCATTTTTTAAGTCTGATCTAAAAAAAAAATGTTTTGGTTTTTCTTTGACTTATGAAGATATACAAATAAAGTTATTTTAAACAACAATTTTATTTGTTAGGTTTTAATGCTTTCATTTTTCAAGTTACCTTTTTTTCTATAAGTAAAAATACGTTTTGCCGCTATTACATTTCTAAGTTAGCCTTTTTTATCGGCACAAACCGGTGGAAAAATACGTTTTCGTGGTGAATTTTTTTATTTTCCTAACTTTTGTTGTTGCAATGCTTATTTTGGTCACCAGAATAAACCACTAAACCATGCTCTAAATAAAACTAAAACCATAGTGTTGTCTTTCAGGTGAGTTTAAAAAAGAAATGACAGTAATGTAGCGTAACTAGCTTAACTTGCTAACGCACAATATACGTATCTTGTGTTTACAGTGCACTGAGAAAGTAAGACTGACCTGCAAGAAGAACTTAAGCGGTTTTAGTGCCATTGAGGTAGTGGTGCAATATGGTGGCAAAAAAGAGCATAGCAACAACAAACACGAAAAAGATACTTAACAGATTTAAAAAATGATCAAGGCAAAAAATATCCGTCCATTTGAACTGTGGAAAGAAAATGAAGGAAGACTTGCATAAAACCTTTTCCCACCCATTTTCAAGGATAAAATAAAGCACTATGGAAAAGAATTAAGGAGGATTGTCCCGACAAAAGACATATTTTGAGACTGTTCTTAAGTCATAAACATTACATGTTACTTGATAGCAAGGGTGTAACTTTGGTTTGAGAAGTTAGTTCCTGCCTTTCTACAAATATATTAGGGACTATGGTGTTAACAAATCCCAGAAAATGTGTAGTGTATATAATGAGTGTGCACACTTATCTAGTATCCTATCCATGTGAACCTGTTTTATTTGTGATG